GGACTTGTGTGTGTTAATGTTTGCTCTGAATAAATTATATAAACCAATAGGCAGAGCCTTGAAAGAAATGATCAACAGTAAGCAACATCGTGAGTGGTAATATATTATCAGTGCTTTTGCTATAGTGCATTGAGTAGTCAAGCAAGACAAATTATTAAATGTACTGATAATGTCACTTGAATCTTAGGGTTTCATCACAACAAAGTTCCTAAGGTTAAAAAAAAATCAATTTATTGTTGTGTTAGAGCCATATTCAATGATTTATGGCAGTCTTGCTTGATTTCCTTTGCTCTTCAGATCCTGCAAATAATTTGAGAGAGAAATAAATTACAAAAAAATGGCATTTATCTGGATTTATAAAATACCAAATTCACTGGCAGGCTCACAAACTCACATGAAATGTGTGTCTGAAAATGTGATGGAACTGGGGTACAGAAACAATGCTGTAGTGGCATGAATGAGCGAAGAAATTCTTATTTAGCCTAGAATCAAGAGCCTCGTTGGGGAGACGCTGGAAATACAGTGTATTACACATGTTTTACTGTTGATAGAGAGTGACTGTTTTTTGTGCAGCAGTAGTCATGTCAAAATGCTCTTTTCAGTTCTGGTTCCCTGGTTACCCACCAATAGTTAAATTAAAGAGGTCAACAAGTAGAATTAATAAAAGTAAACTCTACTTTAGCAAGTAGGTACTGCATATTTAGCACCCCAAATGGAACATACAATAAATATGTGGCACCAAGAGATCAGAAGTGCTATCTTATAAGAGATTTTCATGAGCAAAAGAGAATGTCTAGCAATAAAATTAATATTTTCTTCATGTCACGTTTGTGGAGAGAGCTTCCATTTAAGTCATTACAGATAAAAATAATGAAGTAAGATGGGAGTAGAGCTGAATGAAAATTTTACATCAGAATCATTTTCCAACAGAATAGGTCTTTTCACAAAATTTTAGTTTTCATCAGAAAAAGCAAAATGATGGCTCCCCAGCTCCCTTCCTCCTTGATCCCAGCATCATGCCACTCATTTTGCAGGAGAGATGGCAAGCCAGGGTTTCTGTTGGCAGCAAGGTTAGAAACAGGTAGGAGAGGAGTATCATAAAAGGATTTGGAGAGACAGGGACGCTAGATTGCTTGGAAGTATCTTGTCTATTTTACTTTCAAATTAAGACAAATTTCCTAACAGACAGTCAGCAAGCTGAAAGATTCCTTTTTTTAGTTCAGCTGAAATTTACAATATTTGGAAAAAAATTACATTTTTGTCTGTAACTGAATCTGTGAAATTTTCAAGGGATATGATTTCCGTTCTCCAGAGAGTGTAAATCAAATCAAATAAAAAAATCAAGCCAATAAAAGATTGATTCTTAACATCTATCAGCTATTTTAAAAGTAAATAGTATCTTCTTGTGGAAAATATGAGAGCACAAAATTCTTGCATCTTTACATCCCCTTTTCCAGCATGGTGTCTCTGGTGACTCTTTGTTTCAGGTGTTCCTAAAGCTAATTTGGATGATGTTGCATATGTATTAAGTAATGTTAAATTATGGAGCAGGAATTGCAAGGAAACACGCATGTACATGTGGGAAAACAAGTCACTAGAGGAGAAAATAACAGATTGCTTTTGATCTTGAAGATGACATTTGGAAGGTTTTGAGGACAAATCATGTTTAACAAAAATCTGCTTTTCAAAAATGTCAGTGTACTCACTCAGGAAAATAAGACTGTTTTACAGTACTTCTAAATGACTTTTGAAGTAAATCAAAAGAAAATATTGAAGTAAGTCAGTAGGCTGTGTCTCTGTGGTGAGGGTGTAAAGAGTGCATAGGTTTTGTGCTGAGCTTGTGCACAGATCTGAATTTACATATAATGAATACATGTGGATTATGATTATTATAGACAGTAAAGGGGAACCTATTACATTTTCCAGTGAGTTCTAAAGTGCATCAGCTAAGGGGAGAAACATAGAGTAATATTATCAATAAAGTTCAATGGCCAATAAACCCTGAGGTATACAAGTATAAGAGTTGGCTTAGATGTATAAAACGAATGATTTCTTGAAGGAAAAGGCTTATTGTAAGTCTTGTTATTGGTTACTTTAACACATTCTCAACAGGTTACTTCAAAAAATAGGAGAAAAAACCAGCTGGCCCTTCCCCTTGACCTTTGAGTCAGATACCTAGGAAGAGAATGTGAGATTCTCAATGCTGAGATGCCATGGAAAAGTTTTTACTGCAGTCAGAGGAAATTAGTATAATTGATTGTCTCCCTAGAGAGGGCAGTGGACATGTTGAATTGTTCAGGAGAACCCTACATAACTGAAATGTTTCTCAAAAATGTTGTCTTTTTATCTAGTGATGCAGCAGGGACCCCTAACCCCTACTACTTAGTGAGCAGGAAAACAGTATTTGCAGGGCTGCAATTAGGTAGGAAGCTGGGTAAGGGCCAGCTGCAGAGCCACAAGCAGCCAAGGAGAACTACAGGGAATTAAAAGTGCTGCAGTGGGGAGAGCAGGGGCTATCATTTACTAATTTAAGCTTCGACACTTGAGGGCAGGCTGAACACTGGAGGGCTGGGTTTGCCAGCCTTGCCCTGGGTCGGGGGTGGGTGGGGAGGGGGCAGGTCTGGGTTCAACTGTGAGCAGCCTTGCCAGGTTCAGAGGTTCAGGGTCTAAAGAGGGATGGGAAAACACATGACAGGGCCAGGGGCCTTGAGAATGAGACGCAGGCAAGCTGAGGCCAAGAGGGCTGAGAACCTTGAGCCTAGTGCAGGGATAGGCAACATTTTTGGTCAGAGCTGGTGTGCCAGGGGCAGCTGGCATGGGAACTGTGGGGTCCAATCCTTGTTGTGGTAGTACAGATCTGACCCCTCTGCCATCTTCCCAGAGGCATGCATGCCAAGCAAAATGCCCTTGTGTGTCACACTCTGGCACTGATGCTGGGTGTTGCCTATCCTTAGCCTAGTGTGATCAATGGCAAGGGGATGAGGCTGAGAAAGATCCTGGGTAGCCCTTTAATTTCAAAAAGTAATCTTCACGAGGAAAAGTTTGGACACCACTGGTTTAAATGATAATATGTTTGTGGTATAATTTTGTATGTAGTGGTGGCCTGTTATGGAAGAGCTGTGTTTAGTAAAAGTTGCTTAATATTTTCCTTTATATAATCCTTTTTTTACTTCCTTAAATCTTTTCAAACTTTAATAATTAAAGTTAAAATAGATTTTTAATTATAGGTATCTGTTGTAGACTGTATTTCTTCCTGCTCCCTCTCCCTCCCCGCTCCCAAATTCATGTCCAGCCCCTGTTTAAATGATTTGGCAATTTCCAATAATCAGATTAGGGGAAAAGTGTTGTTTTACCCATATTCATTTTTTTACAGTCTTTTTCTTGAAAAATGTACATCACTTCTATAATTCAGAGGAGGAACTTGAAAATAAAACTGTTTTTGATAGATGTGTTGCATCTGTGGTTTGTACCAGGAATTTCAAATTGTAGAGTGGGACATCCAAGATTTAAAGAGTCACTTTATCTCATGAAAATCCACCCAGCTCTAGATAACTTATGACCCTCCTAAATGCAGAAGAGCCCATGCTGATCAGGCAGTGAGTTCACTGTGCATGTGTGTCAAAGCCAAAGTTGAGGGGCTACACCCTCCTAATCCTATTCCTGCATCTGCTACTGCCCACAACTGAAATCTTCTATATTAGGGCCTCCTTGTGAGGACAGGGAGTAGTCCAACAGATGGCCTTTCTACTGGTAGTAATTCTCTTTGGCAGATACATTTTAAGAGTCTGTCATAGAAAAACAGGGTTGGAAGGGACTTCAGGAGCTTATTCAGTCCAACCCCCTGCTCAAGGCAGGACCATCCCCAACTAGTTCACCCCAGCCAAGGCTTTGTCTAGCCGGGTCTTAAAAACCTCCAAGGATGGAGATTCCACAACTTCTCTGGGTAACCTGTTCCAGTGTTTTACTACCCTCTTAGTGAAAAAGGTCTTCCTACTATCTAACCTAAACTTCCCTTGCTGCAACTTGAGACCATTATTTTTTGTTCTGCCATCTGTCACCACTGAGACCAGTCTAGCTCCGTCCTGCTTTGAATCCCCCTTCGGGTAGTTGAAGGACACTATTAAAACCCCCCTCAGTCTTCTCTTTTCTAAACTAAAAAAACTTAGCCTTCTATATGCTAGTTGAGCCAGTATAAAATGGTTTAGCAAAAGGATGAGTTCTGCTGATTATGTCTGGCCTTTTCACTTTGCAGTCTTGCTCAGGAATTAACACTGATATCATGAGTTAGGCCATTCTATATTGCCAAGTAAAAAAGGTTATAAAAGCAGTAGAAATGAGGGAGAAAAAATGTTGTATGAATAATCACTAATATGCAAGGTTATTTATTGATCTCAATTAAATGCTTGAGTTCATTTCAAAGTGGTTTGATGCATGTAACTATGAGTAAAATTTGGCTGCAAATATCATTTTAAGAATTATACTGTGCCAGTGATCTGACAGGGTACTGCAAAGGTTGAATGGAGTGCAATTTGCTTAGTGGTTGGCACAAAGATTAATTTCAAGCAATATAAATAACGAACACCAATCTCAATCTTTTACTGGAAAAGCCAATAGTTCTCGTGGGAACTCGGCAAAATAAAATAAAACAAGTTGACTGTGATTCTGTTCTCAGGTGAACATGGCCTACTCAGCTGACTTTGACCATGCTTTATAACACCCCATGTTCAGAACTAAGAATTAATCTGTTCTCTTGAGAAGTCCTTAACACTGCTCACAATTCATATCATTATCAAAGGTCCTGTGCTTCCAGATCTAGACATTAAAATAGATGAGAGAGAAAATGCTGACACCATAGTTCTACAAATGTTATCTCAGAGGCTTACATATATTATTAAATCTGTTAATGAAGTTCATGAAAAATCAGGCTGTTAACAGTACAGGATTGGGTTTATTGTTGCATTAATTCTTCTCTCCCCCACCCCTTTTTTTTGATATTTCAGTGCTACGGTTACTAAAGGATGGTGCCGACCCTCACACACACATTTCCTCAGGAGGCTCCTTGCTCCATCTGGTAAGAGTGATTGAAGATTAGTGTTAGCAACTGTAGATAAATATGGTGGGATACTGAGTAACAGATTGGGCATATTAACAACAAGAAAGACTTAGCAATAATTTTTTATCTAGACTGTGCTTCATAGTGATTATGATTGCATCCAGCTGTGTATGTGAAATAAATGGTAGTATTCTACTGGCTTGTGGGGATGCATCATGTAACAAGGATTGTTATTAAGAAAATAGAGTAAGATGGTTTATTTATAAATTATCTGCACACTAAGTAAGAACAGATTAAAAAACATCTGTTTCCAAAGATGGAAAAACTGGTGATCCAAAGATTCTAAGGTAATACAAAAAAGGCAATGTAACCTTCTGTTTAACTTTTGATATCCCTTTCCTTTCAATTTGATATTGATCTTCTAAAATGGAAACACAACGCTTAAGTTATAGTTTAGATATATAGCCATTCAAACCGAGTGATTGTAAGGGGAAAGACAGCAGGTTTCAGTGTACAATGTAAGTAAAATTCAATGTCAAATCTTGCAGTGACTTTCAGAGGCCAATGATTTTACTACAGGTTTCTAAGCTTCATGTTCTATTTATTTTCAGGGTGTGAGTTGGTCTGCCACAAATGATGGCAGGTATTTTTGGAATGATCTAATTTTTAGATAACTGTCTCTAAGTTTCTTAGAAATAAGCAACCCTCGTGCAATCAGATGGCAGAATCTGTCTGATCAAAGCCCACCAATATTTCATTTTAGTTTATATCCAATTTTTGTTAATACAGCAACATTATGACACTGACTTATTTAATAAGGACAGTGTAGACAGAATCCTGTTTCATTTTACATGCCCAAAATGGCACTCATCTAGCTGCACAAATGCCATTTTTATCACTTATTCACATTTTGAGATCCAACTGCATGTGCAGTGTGAATGTTCCACACAGCTAATAGGCATGCTCAGTAGGCTGCACTCTGGCCTGGCAAATATATATCACATTTAATCAAATAGAAGACAACCCTGATTATAAGACACCTTCCCCCAATAATTAGACTCTGTATATGGAAAATTTACAAATTTGTTACAATTTTCCAAGTATGGAATCTGATTATTGGAGATTTTCCTTGAATTGTTCCCCCTCCCACTGTTATAGCAGGGAAAATAAGTCTGGGGCATCAGGTAGCCCTTTGTTCTCTGCTTCCCCACAATTTTTTCCTCTGGCAGTCCCTTCCTCCTCCCCTTACTACTGTCTGTGCTGTCCCTGAGCATTTGAAAGCGAGTGAAATTAAACGTGTAGAAATGTCCATATAGCAATGTCTATGGACTTAGTTCATGCAGAATTGAGGCATGCTACCTTTTTTTAAAAAACTGTTTTAGCACAGGTGTTTCATAAACACACTTTTAAGCAGCTCTTTGGCACCCACTTATCTAGTATACTTTTTTTTGCAAAAATATATATTTCTACACACACACACCTATATCCTTACCACTCTGTCTCGTGACTGATCTGGTTCGTCTGAAAGTCCATAACATACAAATACAGTTAAAAATTGTCATCCTCCTGTTACAACAACTGCACACATGCGTCCATCACCACCTCTTCCAACTTGTCACAATCATACAAGAACTGCCTCCTTTCCATCTACATTCTCCTCCCCACTTCCTACCCCCTCAATACACCTCTATTTTTCCTCCCAGTCTTTAGTCCACATCATCTCTGTCACTTTGTTTTTCCCCATTGTCTTCATCGCTCACACCCTTTGTCACTATCATCCTCATCTTCCTCATCATCATTGTCTTCCCTGGGGAACCACTCCTGAACAGTTTGTGCCATATGATCTCTTTTCTTCCATATGATCTCCACTGTCTCTTCCCTGTCATCTTCTGCTGTCTTCCTGTAGTACCCCTACAGCTTACTCATTGATCCCACTCAGTCAGGTGGGATCAGGGGTTTTAGAAGAGGCTTCACTGAAGGAATAAAAGAGTGAAGAGTCCAGATGTGCTGGAGGGTAGGGCTAGGATTCAGAGAGACCTTGACAAATTACAGGACTGAACTAAAAGAAATAACATGGGGTTCAATAAGGAAAAGTGCAGAGTCCTTCATTTAGGATGTAACAGTCCCATGCACCAGTAAAGGCTAGGGACCAACTAGTTAAACAGCAGCTCTGCAGAAAGGGACCTGGGAGTTACAGTGGAAAAGAAGCTGAATATGAACCAACGGTGTGCCTTTGTTGCAAAGAAGGATAACAGCATACTGGGCTGCATTAGTAGGAGTGCTGCCAGCAGGTCAAGGGAAGTGATTATTCCCCTCTATTTGGCACTGATGAGGCCACATCTGAAGTACTGTGTCCAGTTTTGGGGCCCCCACTACACAAAGGATTTGGACAAGTTGGAGAGAGTCCAGTGGAGGGCAACAAACATGGTTAGGGGGCTGGGGCATACAGCTTATGAGGCGAGGCTGAGGAAACTGCACTTACTTTTTAGAAGA